TAAAAACTCGATTTTTGAGGATATTTACTCAATAAAAGGCATATAATCGTGTCCAAAATTTATATTTTAATCACATACTAAATGTTAAACTCCATTTTGATAATTTTCCGTCGGAAGTGATATCACTAGAACTTGTTGATGTACAAGGGTGTCCGATGCATGGTGAATTCACCCTAAATTGTTTAATATTGTGCATGGGATGTTTAATATGGGTGATCTGCCATTCTTAGAAAAAGATAATATTCATAATAGATAAAAGATTTTACAAATCAGATAAATTCTTGACTATTGTGTGTAGGTGATGAGCCAGCCCTGCCACTTTTAAATGCAACCAAGTTGTTCAAATACATGTATTTTTAAGATTCTTAAAATTCATACATTTATTATATCCATTCAAAGAACTTCATTTATATATATTTTTATCATAATAGAAACCACACATATTAAGCTATTAAGGTGAGCTAATAATATTTATTTCCTATGTAGCTTGTAACAAGAGCTTTGATTGGTTACAAAGTTGGGTGTAAATTTCCGTACATGGATTTGAGACGGGGGTAAATAAAAAGTGACGTCACAATGCACAGTTTTTCTATTATAAAAAGCAAATGACATGACGTCACGATACATTGAAGGATGCAGTAAATCATTAATAGCTTGAAACACAGTTGATTAGACTCTGATGTTAAAAAAAAATTTATTTGGGTACATAGGAAATAAATTTGTTATCCAGGTCCAATTAAGGTCGGCCTCAGGATGTATGGAATAAACCCCGGGGTAAATCCCCATACACCCTTGATTGAACCTGGATAACTAATAGTGTATATGGCAGATACTGAATAAAAGATGCTCATAGCTTGCTTGAAATACTAAAAAAATTACTTGGTTTTGAGTTTGTTTCTGTATTCAGTACCAAATCCATGACTTCCTCTATAGTTAACATCCAACACAGCAAACCCGCGGCTCGTAAAGTACTGAATGAGAAGCCTCAGTGTGTTAGGACTGTAACCTACAGCACATAACAGAATATTAACAACTGGTATTGATTCAAATTAGGACAGGTAACATTTGTTCATTTGATTAATATAGTACATGTAAAGCTTTGTGAAATATATGCCTGCAAGTAGCTGCAGAACTGTAGCTCTCTGAAAAAAAAACATTGACAGACCGTAGAGCTACAGTGCCACCCATTAAAAGACTTGTATATTTATTGTTGTTGATGCAAATAATAATTAGTTTACAGCATTGCTCTCACTTTAAGCCTCACTCCATATCGCTTATAAAATTAGGAACTTGTTCTAATTGTTAAGTGAGAAAAAAGTCACTGAAATTTGACACACTTGTTGGTCCTCCATGAGCTTTGACAAGAAGGGGTGGGAGGGTTCCGTCAGGGGCCTTGTAGTCCTTGTTCTGGGGGGTATATAAGAATCCATAGCAGACATCATTGTCTGTAGTCTTCCAGCTGTAATCGACAGGGATACTGAAATACCCCTTGTCCAAGGACAGCGATTTGGATTCCCTTATTTCCTTCACCTGAAATCATTTGAAATATAAAACAAAGGTTTATGACTGGCAACAATTCTCAATCTATCAAAAAACTTTTGGTAAACATAAAGAAAGGCATAGAAATACTTGAAAAGAAATCTGATCCAAAAACTTTAAACTTGGATGCTGACCTCCAGACCAAGGGTATTATATAAGCTCTGCCAACTTTGTTGACGTTAGCTAAAAATCTACTCTTGGTTTTATTTCACTTCATAATCAACAAAAACTGATTTTCTACTTATCAATGGTATCATATTTTCAAACCATTGCATTTCGTTATATTTAATTGGCAAAATTCCACCACCACCATCATCTTTAATAACTCAATTACTGAAGATTTTAACAATGATTACTCTGTTTTAACAGAGACTATGATATACCAGGTACACAGTCGAGTCATGTGACGTGTCCTTGTTCCCCTTCAATTAAAATCCACCATGAAAATAAATTCCATTATAAGTCAGTCTTACCACTCCATTTTCTGTGTTCAGCTGTACTATACAGGGGAATCTTGTAGGGCTTCCCACCTCACAGTACAGTTCTCCATTCAAACCAAAAGTTAGCATGTTGTAAGATGTGTATCCTATCTCTAGCTTTCTGCATTCCTTTGTTTTGACATCCAACTTCATAATTTCCTGTGAAGTACATATATATTACAAGTTAAAAATGTAGCACCAAAATTGTAAGAGTTATATGATGAGCTATACCTGCACATGTACCATAAATTAATTTTTTTTTTTTTTGGTAAAAAGAAACATTTTCCCAATCTTTTTAAAACGAAAGAATGAAATACAAATATACAAAATTAATCAATATGAATAAACCTTCTATAACAGATGAAATTCTGTATATGACTGTTTGAAATGAATTATAAATGTACAACTTTCCATAATTATTACAATATAATGCTTTTAGCATATGATATTATCTTACTCCTTTCTTTTTCAGGATGACACTACCACTGCCAGAGGGATCTATTGCGTAATCTGGTCTCCCAAACACCCACTGACACCCTCCCACCTCCGCCTCACAGGGGAGCAAATTCTGGTGGGTCCCCTCCGTGGAGCACTGATACAGGTTCCACCAGCCTGTCTGATCGCTGATGTACAGCAGGTCTCCACTAGGACTCCACATGGGCTGCATCACATTGACTCCCTCACCTCCTGCAACCTACAATCAAAGTACCGAGATGTCTAATGAAATTCTGAAATCAACTTTTATTTCAATGCACGGTTGCATGTAACCTAAAGAAGGAGAAAGAACAAGGTTGGCGAAAAACTTTTTTTGGCTCTGCGAATTTCTGAAAAATCATGTATTATGACATCATAAATTGCATAATTATTCCAAAATCCTGAAAATTTTGTCAAAATAGCCTTTTTCATTATTTTACAAAGATCCCAACCCCTCACCCAAATTGTTAAATTATATGGAAAGATCTCTTTTGAAAGATTATAATCCATGTTATATATTTTTTTGGATTGAGGGGTTGGCTTACATTTTAATTTTGATGCTTAGACTGTAAGCTATAACAGAAACCTAAACAATGTCGCTGGCAATATGCAATAGCTACCACGGGCAGTTTAAAATCTGGGGGAGGAAAATGATTTACAGACAGATACTTTTAAAACGAATACATAATTATCTCACCAGCATGTCATTGTGCAACGAAAGTCGTCAGCATTTTATTTGTCCTTTGAACGGGTGAAACGTTTTGAATGGCACTCGTATCGATGAATTTTACACTAAATAAAGCTATCTTCTCAGATCTAGCTTTATTTATCCGCCGTTTCATCTTAAAACCGGAAGTGCGAGTTCGTAAATTTGAAATCTCGATCCCGACTCAAATTTGACATCGGAAAGAAAAAAAAATGTTTTTTTTTTTTTCTGAAAATTCAAAACCTTGAGTGGAGGGTTTCTAAAACTGAAAATAAAATAAATCCTGGCCTTAAATATGTAATTAGATCATTAGTATACTAATCAGGAGCAAAGGATAAGATGTTCAAAGAATTCATGCATTTCACTATATAATCATTAGAGCCCCACCCTAAAACAAGAACTCCTGACCCTTGGGCCATAAAAATTCACAATTTTGGTAGAGGCACTCTTGCTCATCATAACTATGTACTTAGTTAGTTTATTTAATACCCAGGAGCAGAGAATAAGATTTTTAAAGAATTCGTGTATTTTCACTATATAATCAATAGAGCACCGCCTTAACACCGGAACCCCTGACCCTGGGGCCATAAGATTCACAATTTTGGTAGAGGCACTCTTGCTCATCATAACTATGTACTTAGTTGGTTTATTTAATACCCAGGAGCAGAGAAGAAGATTTTCAAAGAAATAATGCATTTTCACTACCTACTTATCTAGCCCCGCCCTAGCACTAGAACCCCTGATCCCAGGGCCATGAATTTCACAATTTTGGCAGAGGACTCATTGCTGATTACAATCATGCAAACAGTTTGACTGCTTGATGTCCAGGAGTAAAGAAGAAGATTTTTAAAAGATTGCATTAATTTTAGTGGTTTTGGCCCCACCCCTCAGGCCCCAGGGGGGCAGGGATCCGCAGCACAGTTAAGGTTACAAAAAGGAGGCGGAGCCTAATTTGTACGGGAAAACTTGACTATGACATCATACAGAATATACGTCATACATTTCTTTAAAATACCACAAAATGAGTTTATCTGCTAATTTAACAAGTAAGAAATCATCAAACTACATAAAAACGTACTATAGCGTGTTGTTTTGTCGTTAGTTAAATCCCACATAACAAGTTATAAACAAGTCACTGATCGCAATACACTTGTCAATATGACGTCATTTCTTACAACGTGACGTAGTTTGTATGCAGTGAGAGACAGATCAAGTAATATTTTCTCGACAAAATATGTATTCTCTAATTAAATAAAATATCATTTACATATATTCTATGGGCCAATAACTTGAATTTAATGTCTTCTTCACTTTTTTATTAATATATTTTCTGTACATTACGTATTTAATTGACACTGCCGTATATTTGTATGCAAGTACATCGGAGGATAATGTGGGGATCTTAATAAATCGATCTAGTGCAAGGGCATACACTCTGTGGATCAAAGTAAGCTTTTACATTTCAACTATTGAACTACTAAGGTATCTGAAAAGTGCTGCGATCCTGATGAAATCTTAAAAACAATTTAATTATATCAATATTTCATGCCGCTGACCAGCAAAAAATATAGCATTCGGTCATAACAATTATAATTTTAACAATGAAATTGCAGAATTTAGACAGGATCGCAGCACTTTTTAGAAACTACAATGCGTGTTGAAAATATTTATATACTAAACTTGGAAATTTAACTTGGTTATGCCCTTGCACTAGTGATATTTATATGTAACATCAATACTTGAAGTCAATGTGCTAAAATCGCGTGACTGCCGCATCAAGTGACTAGTCTAAATATAAAATATAATCGTCCTCGATATGTAGTTATTAATCATAATTACAATTATCCGATATAAATAATGTACTAAAAATAATCGCCATCCCGATTACGAATACATTTTTAAATACAAAATTCAGTCGATATTTTCATTGCGCACCTTAACTGTACTGCGTCATAAAATTCACAATTTTTGTTCCCCTTCACCCATAGATGCTTTGTGCCAAATTTGGTTGAAATTGTGGTTGCAGAGAAGAAGCTGAAAATGTTCAAATGTTAACGCACGACGGACGACGCACGATGACGGACGAAAACAGATACTCAGGTGACCTAATAAATGGTTCACATACAAACATACATCTGCAAAAGTATCGTGGAATTCTGTGTTCTTCGAATATTATAAGTACAACCTAATTTGAGTTAGATTTGTCCTGATAAATAAAGACAATTATCGCAGAAGCTCTTTTTTCCCGGAATCATGTGAACAACGAAGAGAATTGAATGAAATTAATAACAATTATGCATTATAAGCAGGAAACAAAAATTTCATATTTAATAAATATATAATTCATTTTTTTTTCTGTATACAAACACGATATTTGTCTGATGTGTACTCTAAAACCCTTAAGGTGCCTCATACCTGGCACAATACGCAAGGTTAGGCAAGATCAAATATCGTGCGCTCAGGTGATAAACATATTATTCAATCGTCAGGTGCATGGTATGTGTACTTAAAGAAATTACAACGTGTAAAAAATACCAAACCTTTACCTATGTAAAAGGCAATTTTTGGGTCTTATTGGGGGGGGGGTCTTATTAAGACCGTCTTAATTATGAACTTTATGCCAGTAATGATTTAAGATATACTTGTCAACTTTTCATTCAATTGATAGGTATATCAAAAATAGGGAGTGGCCGACTCCGAAAATTATGACTTTTGATTAAGGAGAAATATATGAATTCATTTTTTAAAAGATATAATGCTAAGGAACTTGTAAAGAGTTGTGGATGTGTTTTATATCTTCATCATTATTAGATAATTCAAGATGTAAAGCAGTAATAAAAGAAAGGTTTTGATCCACCAAGTGAATGAAGGTATAATTAGAACATAGAATGCAGGTGATAAAAAACTCACCCATAAATTAATCTGCTCTTGCTCCTCACCGTTGTTTAAAAAAGGACCGAAAAAAAATGCTGAAATATAAAGAGTGAAGTTTTTCAAACATTCACACAGAAAATCATGAAAGGGACGTAATTTATACACTTAATTTCCCGGCTGAAATAAAAAAACTGGTTAAGTACAGATGATTCTCTGTAGGGGGAGGAGGTGGGGGATTGGGGTAATTAGTATTGTTTTCCGATAAAAGAAAGATGCAGAGAAGAATAAATAATTGTTGATAAAATTACATAAAAGAAATCAGTAAGAGTAGAATCGACCCCCTACAAAAGGGGTTATTGAAATAATAGAAATGGTCATGATAGTCCATTGAACAATTTTTGAGTATTGAAATAAAAATAAAACTAAAATAGGAAAAACTTTAATACAGTGAGAAGGAGTTTGAAAACATTTTCATCTCCAATGAGTTTTACTTCAGGAAAATATTATTAGTGACGAAAAGAGAAAAAATAACTAATGGATACTCCAATTCACTTATAACTAAACTGCCTTTCTTGTGGTCATCGTCAAGTTTTGGTTTCTTTGAAGAAGGAGACTGGTCAAATGAAGCATTGTCATCGTTTTCCAAGTCAATAAACAATCGTTTTCTTATACGGCCGGGGTCTCCAAGATTCTCGACGTCTTTGAATTTCCACTTGATCATAGATTTAGCACCCATTCCTGCGAAATTTAATTTAACAAGTCAAAGGTACTCCCTTTTCCTCTCCTCTTCTTCAGATGCCATACTACTATAATAATAACATTTCAAATGAGTAATAAAGAAAACAATTCAAAATGAGTAATAAAAATAACATTTTAAGGGGAAAAAATCAGTCTGATTGAAAAAAACCACTTGCTAATCACTGATCGTGATGATGTCTATTACGGGACTGTATAAAGATTTTTTTAAAAAATCGATGTTTAATAACGATGTTCCAGAAGTGTATACATTATATTTCGTATTTTCAGACTATTCATTGCATAAATATACTTAGGGATTTCTTCCTGAGACATTGGGCGGCTGCCTGTACTTAGAAAACAAAAGAGAAAGTACTTGTTCAGCTAATTTTGACTGGATATTTAGAAAATGAAGTTGACTAAATTCTTTTAAAAATTAAACTAACCCCAATGGTGCTGTGGGGCACCGATAGTAGTATTAATGGTCTAGATAGCCGGTCAACTAGGACATGGGGGATAGCCGGGTCAACTGAGTGCAGTCCTAACCCTAAACCTAACCCTTAACCCTAACCCTAACCCTAGGGTTAGGTGGGTCAACTCAGTACAGCCCTAACCCTAACCCCTAACCCTAACCCTAGGGCTAGGTGGGTCAACTCAGTACAGCCCTATATGTCCAATAGGGCGCTTACACTATAGCTTTTTCCTACGCTGCTACTACGATTCAACGTTGGTACTACGATTTTGGCAGCGAGTCAAGAATGTGATTATGACGTCACGATTTGAGCTACCTATGCATTGTGACGTCATAAACTTGGCAGCGACGTCATGTTAGTCCTTCACAGCCGCGGTGGCTGCTTATTTTGACACAACAACAAAAGACTTTCACAGCCCTGGAGACTTCATGTTAATAA